TGGAAGTAATTGTTACTGCTGATTGTGCCAATATTCTTTCTTGATTGTGATTATAATTATTATGAGCTTGTGAGAAATCTTCACATTCCTCAAGATTGTACTGGATCTTGGTAATGTTTGCTCGCTGCTGCTGACTATACAAGAAATTATTATTATTAAAAAGATTAAATGTCAAAATTTAACAAAAAAATTCAATTACGATTTTAAGGATAGCATTGATTCCGCAAAGAAATCATTATTGTTTCCTGGTAAATGTTTCGGCAGATTTTGACTTATGCGTTGCAAATATTCATACTGAGATTTTAGTTTTATTTTGATTTCCTATATTTTTTAAAGAACGAAAAATTAAGTATTGCAACTAACATTTTTATTTTTGGTTTTTTATAGATATTTGAACCTTTGCTCGTTCAATAGCAAGCTTTTCCTCTTGTAAAAAAGTCGTCATATACGAAACGTGAGTCTCTAGTTCACTCAGCGAATCACGTAGTTCTACGAGAATATCCTCTATTTTTTGAGAGGTGTCTTTTTTATTTTATTTAAATTTTAATTTTAGTGTTTCACGTTAATTTTCCGTATGCTTATGAATCCTCGTTAATCAATTATCACCTTCAGCACGAAGCAGCATGCAATTCTTAAGTTCTTCAACACGCTCGTTGAATTCTCGCATCATTGCTTCCATCTTGAAGTTTTTTAGAAATTTGTCAAAAAAAGCGCTGTATTAAGTAGATTCTACGAACGCGTTTGTGTTACGATCTAGACGCGTAAAAAGTTACACAAATCATTTTTATTTAAATTACCCGAAAAGTTCGGGAAAGTCCTGAAAACTTATATCGGATGTCTACTATCGGACGGTCGATATTTTACAATTGACTACAATATTATAATAATGACCATTTTTTATAAAAAGAAAAAGTAAAAGGATTAATATCTGCACATAAAGAGAAAATCACGAGAGAATGGAATTTTGATCTCTACATGAAGTCAAAAATAACAGCCTACAAATATCGATCAGGGGAAATGTCATGCTGATGTACCTCTTAAAAATTCTATGATGAAACTTTTTTCTTTTCACTTTGTTCCATAACTTGATAAGTATTACTAAGCTATATTCATTATCTGAATATGTAGATCTAAATTATATTCTGCTATATCTGCTGGAATCTAGTCCATCTTAAGGTAAAGCCAGACAAGTTATGAATTTTTTATTATTTTATAATGTATTCAATCTTTTATTTGGCAAATAATAACACTATTTCTTTTTTTTGATTTTATTATTTTTATAAAATATTAAAGACAATTTTTTATGAAAGTTAGCTTCATTTTTTATGCATTTCATTTAAATAATTTTTTTACATTTATTAGAAAATTTATTATTTAATATATTATTCTTAAAACTGATATATTAACTTTTTGCTCATAATGATAGTTCTTAAGCAATAGTCAGGAATATTTAATAAAAAAGATAAGAATTAATATTCTGAAAATATAGTGATTTGCAAAAATAATATATCATTCAAGTTATCAATCTTAAATCACAAAATTTACAGTCATAAAAGTTATAATAAATATTTAAATGATGAAATACATGTTAGCAAAAATAACTGAATATTTTTATTATTTATTAAATAAAAATAGTTTTTAAATAAAATTTTATTCAAAATAAATAAAAAAATATATAAAATATTATACTATCACTTTATATATTTCTCTTGCTTTGATTATATTCTTAATTCTCTGATATTATCAAAATAATTGATATTATTTATTCTCAAATCATTACTTATCACATACATTTTTCACATGATCTGGATCCGGATTGAATCCAAAATCACATGATACTACCCGGCCTCTGATCTGATATAATGTTTATTTTTTTTGTTTACCAAAAAACACGACTTCTGCTTCTAACAACTCCCTTCAAGAAAAATTTCATTTTTTAAATAATTCATCTATTATATGGTTTCATATACAAGACTATTTTCAAAATGTGAAATAATTCTCTGCACAGTTCATATTATGCGAACATGGAGAAACAAAATTTATCATGAAAAGCTCGGGAAGCTATGATTTCAGCAATGCACAAAAAAAAAACAAAAATGGGGTTGTGTTCAAGAAGTCGTCCATAATCAAAAGGTTAAAGTGTTCACCCAACGGCAGATGGATTCATGTGCCTGGATAGAGATTGGGGTGACTAATACTAATCTCTGGACTATAATTGCTTATATGCCTGCATCAAAACGCAGATACTGGGGAAAAAATGTTTATTTAGCAATATACTAACCAATTTTCTTATCATTGATTAATATAAGTATGTTATATTTATTGGAATTGTCGACAAATACTAAGCCAGGTGAAACGACAGCAAGTATTAATCGTATTCGCAAACAAAGAGGACTTGAGAAAAGAAAGAATTTAATATAGTTTATTCAACAAAAAATTTTCAATGTTTTTAATGTCTATAATCTTAAAACTAATTCGAAATCTTTCTCAATGGGCGAAATTCTTCATCTTCACGTGGTGTAAACTTGATCAAATC